ATTACAAGGTATTGACTTTAGCTCCCTGAGCTCTACAGTAGAACCTGATTGTTGGTTATTTGTTTTTTGAAGTGTATCAATACAGGTGCCAGGCCCTTCACTCAGATTTCTTTATTTGACAAATATTTATTAAAAGATGACTGTGATCCAGTGTGTAGTTCCAGTGCCTGGGGAAATCCCCAACGATTGGGACTCAATCCTTACCTTCAAAAGAGTACGTTCTCACAGGGAGACTTGTTTCTAAACAAATAATTGAAGAACAATTTGGCATGAGTTTCTGGAACACAGACTGAGGGATCAGGGAGCTGGCTCTGAGTAGCACGCAGCTAAGGAGGCCTTCAAGAAGCCCCCTTCTCGAACATTCTAGAAAAGTCTCCGAGCCGGGCCCAGCAGAGTGAAGGGGAACTGGGCAAGCAAGATGCAGAGGCCCAAGGGTCTGCTCCTCCCTTATCCATCTGAGCTGAGTGAATCTTGATGGGAAGGGTCAAGGGAGACCAAGCGAAGAGTTTTATACCGTGAGAACTTTCAGTGACAAAAGGAGTTCTGTATAGAGGCTTGGTAGAGATTGTATTATAAATAAAACCTGCAGTATTAGGTGTATATGATGTCAGTACCTTTAGAAAACAGCCCAAGGCTTAGAAATGAGACCAAATTTAGAAAGACCCCAGCAATAGTCTAGAATAGTAATGGGTTGATGGTGATGAAAAATCTAAGTCAGGAATTCTTGGGAGACCTGTTTTTTTCTATTATTTACAGGTTTAGAAGACAGTCGCCTTATTTTGCTAAGCTTTTTTTTTCCCACTTATCATGGATAGAATGCAAATTATTTTGTGTCTTTTTTCTCAATGATAGGAGTGCCTCACCACTGTTGCACACTGCTGACATTGGGTGAAGAGAATTTAGGAATTTCTTTCAGAGAGGGAGGGAGTGACAGAGAAGAGAGATTTGCACATGGCTTTAGTGCAATTCATTTATGTAACTTGTCCTGAAAAAGACAGTTACTTAGGTGAAAACTCTACTTTTTCTCTGAATTGCTTTTAATGAGTGAAATGATTCATATTTTTATCCGATGATTATTTTTAAAAAATTTGGTTTTCTGTTGAGACGGATTAAAGGCATGTGCCTAATTGCTGAATATTATTTTGGAAAAACTGGTCTGAGTCTGTCTTTATGGGCTGTGAGTGGTTTTGCCTTTAGAAGCTTGTTTTAGGATCTTGTGCCAACCCCATCCTTTCCCAGGCCTGTTCAGACTAGAATTATCTGGCAGGGAATGGTTTTGTTTTGTGTTGTTGTTTTGAAAAAAAAATGAGCAGGAACATCTTGGAAAATGTTCACCTCAGTCTTCAAGTTGACTTGCAGAGCAATTTACTAAATAAGCGATGTGCGAATCAAGTGACCATCAGCTGGTGTAAATGTTTTCGGTCTGTGTGGTCACAGGATCTCAGGTATGCAGGAGTTGGCCGGGCTACAACCACGAGCTGGTTATGGTGAGACCCTGGTTCCAAGCCTCTAACGTAACACACGAGGAATCCAAGTTCACAAGAACATACTTTAATTAGACACCTGTATTTAAAAAGTTGGTTTTCCCTCTGGCACAGTTTCACCCCGTGGTACCCTGCGTATATCCGTGTGCGTTTCTTCCTGGGCTACAGTTAAGAGTTAATTAGACTCTTTGTTCTTAGCCATGTGGGAGGCAGTTATTTTGTCTGTTTGTCTGTCTTTTTGTAAACAACTTCATTGAGGTAGACTTGATATACAGAGACCTGCACGTATTTAATTTGTAGAATTGGATGCTTTTAGACGTGAATGAACACCCATGATACCATCACCACAGTCAAGGTCATAGACATGTCCAGTACCTCCCATAGCTCCCTTCTGTCCTTTTTTTTTTAACGTATGTGTAGTCAGAACACTTAACATAGATTGACACCAAGGGAGACAACTTTTGTTCACTTTTGAAGTAAACTCTTTGCTGGAGGAACATACTGCTGTGTGTTCTGTCAAATCCATAATAGAAGCTGCAGTGGTGGATTGTATTCCTGTTTGGTTACAGAAGGCTGCTGGCTACATGTGCTAAAACACGGACGTGGGCTGGAGGGACCATCTAGACACCTAGAGCCAAACTTGGCAATTTTGACTCAGGAAAGTTAACATCCTGGCAAGGCTATGAAATTGTTCATCCCTCTTCATTTACTGCCCTTACAGTGCTTGGGGTCCAATTTTTTCTCCAAAAACGACAGTTTCTACAGTTAAGGATGCCAATTACGGGGGTGGGGTGGGGGTGCAAAAGAGAATCATCCAGGTAATGCCTTCAAAAGACAGGCACGTCTCCTCTTCCTTCAGTTGAATGACCCACGAAGCAGCATTTCTTTCATTTCTATAGTGAAACTTTGATGAGAATATCATTTTATATCTATCATTAAACATCAGCGGGTTTCTTTACTTCTTGGTTTGGTTTATCGGCCACCCTTGCTCTAATTCTGGAGAGGAAGCTCTTCAAATTCTAGGTGAACGTTGCAAGAAATGGTCTTTATTCCAGTCCCAAATGGGCTTTCCAACAGCAGATGGCAGGCTTAACTTTTAATTAGTCTTTTCCTTCCTTTAAAGTCTCTTTCCCACTCAAATAAATGGTCTTTAGCCAGAATGGATGCATGTTTGTTTGTTTGTTTATTGTTGTCTCTGTTTCATTTATTTGCACTGTGAAAAGGACTTGAGCAGTGAGTACCTTGATTATAGTTCTGCCACCTGTCCCTCGGGTTTAGCTGTCTTCTTAATTATTAGATAATAGAATTATATAAATGCCATTTTCAGTTGGAACTTAATTCTTTTCTTTGACTTTGATTTGCAAATTTCTAAGATGTATTATTGGTTAATAGTCTCCGTTATATTATATTCCTTATATATTCAATTCTCTATATTTTAATAAACTTTACAATGTGTATTATTGCTTAGTGATTGACAATAATCTATAGAACAGCCTTGAATAAAAATTTCATTTATAGTTTTTCTTTTTTTTATGACCTAGATAAATCTAAAAGAAGACGGCAAAGACCATTTTAACTTTATGGTTCTTTAGACTTAGGAAGATTTGGAGGATACTTCAGGCAAGCTTTGAGAATTAAAAATACCATTCTTTTAATAAAGATGTAGACCAAAATTTATAAGAGATAATCCTTTGGATTTTTTTGTGTGAAAAACTTACCAAACTAAACTCTTGCCTCGCTTTAATTATCAGCCTTCTTATTTATAAAAATAGTTTTACATATTTAGTTTTAGTGGTTAATGACATGTCAATTTGTGTGTTCCAAAAATGCTTTATTTTACATTAATGGTGAGACTCAGCCAAACCTGTACCAAGCAGTCTTTTTTTCCTACCTTGGTATGTACGCCCTGGCTTTTTAGGCAACGCCAATGTATACTTACAGTTGGAGTTGTTCTTAATTTATTTTAAAAGAAACCCAAGCCATCAAACAAAAACCTACTTCACTTTATAAGTCCCACCCTCCTCCTTTCCTAAGAGCTAACCACCTGGCGAAACACTATTATTATAACTCTGAAAATTAGACATCTGTGATTAGAGTTAAATCATTCCCTTGCATTTTATATTATTTCAAGCTCTCAGAAAGCCGGTCATCTTTTCTTATACTTGACACATTTTTTTTTAAACGTTACTTTTTCTGGCAATGACTGTTTGCATTCCAGCTGCAGGTCCAGTCAAACTGTGTATATACCTTCAAAGTTCTGAGCATAGCCTTTCTCTAATTGACCTTAGCTTTCCTAAGTCTTTTAGAAGTGATAGCCAAAGCATTGTAAATTCCGAAGAGGGTCAGATTCTAAAATGTGTGTGGTTGGAGCAAAGTTGCATGGTCATTTACAGTCTTAAAAGAAAAAATTCTCAAAGGCGAAAGCAGTAATTGGCTACTGCGGTCACGTTTTAATATAAAAACACCTTCTCCAAGATGAGGCCTTTGTTCTGACTCTTGCCTCTTCTCTGCGACGTCTTCTGGCCCCAGGTGTACACATGGTTCTCCTCCTCCTCCTTCAGGAATCTGCGCAAAAGTCACACTCTGACTAACTTCTGGAAAATAGCATTCCTCTATGAAATGACCGTACCTACGTGTCGAGTTTCTTTTTTTTGTCTGGTCCTTACCTTCACCATAAATCTTAGACTCTCAGTTCCACGAGTGTAGGGTCTTGGTTCAGTGTCACATCCCCAGTGCCTGGCGGGAGCTATGGAAAAGGCACTCAGTAGGCATTTCTAGGGTGAATGAATGAATCAGTGAATCAGTCAGTCCATGACGAGGATACCCATCCTCTCACGACATCGTATCATGGGAGGAAAGCTTGGAACCAACATACTGGAGAGCTGCTGCTTTGAATACCTTGCAACATGCTTTTTTTTTTGCAGTTTTCTGGTGTTTTAGACATTTGGTAAAAATACTCTATCATCCTCAGTTTATAGGGGAAACAGTATATTTTTACTGCAACTTACTTGACCTATGTGCAGCATCACTAGATTACCCAAAGTTAAAATGGCATCAAGTGAACAAAAAATGCTCCAAGGTCACAATGAAATGGTAGATTGGATTTTTGATTTGCTTGCTCATTTGTCTTTCTTTTATATATATATCTATATATACACAAATATATATAAATGTATATGTATTTTTATAAATATATAAATAAGTATATATTTTTTTACATTTTACTGCAAAAACACGCCAATTGTAGATTCCCTCACAAACAAGCATGCACGCTAAAAGGTCAAGGATTGTCATCTTTTTTTGTTTGCTGCTGGATTTTGAGCCCCTGATAAGACTTTCTAGCACTTTCTATTACTTAGTCAGTATATGTGTAAGTAAATCAGCCTAGAGGTTGGTTTAAACTTCATTCATGGGATTATTGTCCAAATGTCACTAAAAGAGGATAAGCGGTTGAAATCTCTTGATACCATTTCCATGTCAGTTTCCAGAATTGACGTATTCTCTTTCCTTCCACAGAGCCCCTTACCAGGAGGCTGCGGATCCTCCGGCTGCTGGATGTGTAGGTACCCTCAATGGCTCAGTAGCCAGTGTAGATCCTGTCTTTGGTAATCAGTAGCTACATCTGGCTACTGGGTCTCTGATGGCATCTTCTACCTTCCGTTACAGAGTCCTGAGTGCAGCGATTGGAGAGTCCTCAGTAATGCAAGCTTTACCTTGATTTACACAGAACATACACCCACCCAGAGTTAAGTTATGGGGTGATGAGTCTTCTGTTATTAGATGGAGTGGAGGACCATCAAGGTCTTGTTAATAACGAGATGTATTTGATTTCAACACCACAAAGGGAAGGAATCTGTATTATTTTATCCATGGATTGTTTGTCTCTTTTTTTTTTCCCTCTCTCTGCCCCCTGTGGAAGGTATCATTTGGTCACAAAACTATCCTCCTGTCTGTCTGTCTGTCTATTTATTTATCTGTCTATCTATAAATCAAGCATTTGGTTACAAAACTATCTACATTTATCTATCTATCTATCAATCATCTACCTACCTACCTACCTGTCTTATATATCCATCTATCTTATCCATCTATCCATCCATCCATCCATTTGTTCTCTTCATCTCTTGACTTTTAAATGGGCATTCTCAAAATAACGTGGTGATTTCAGTTTAAGGACATTTCACTTGTCATAAATACATCCCAGCAGTGCATTGTGACTTGTGGTTGCCCTTTCCCCGTGGTAGAGAATTTGAAAGCCAGAAATCTCAAATGCAAGCAGGCAACTGATGTGGAAATCATATGTGGGAAGACTGGACAGGCCCGACGTCCAGGTCTGGGGCATGAACCTGGCATACAATGTAGATTTCTGTGTTTGATGGGCAACAGCTACATTGTCTGCTGGGTTTCAGGCTACCTGGAAACATGTGCTTCATGGCGGTTTCATCAATGCTTCACCTGTACTGTTTTGGAATAGCTTTTCTAGGAGGCATAATGATCCATGGGCTCTATCATTGGACAAAATGCAGAGAAAGAACCCCAGGAGGGCTGATCACCTTAGCAAACACTGATTTTATTATGATTTTACCCAAGATGGTCAAATATCAGCCCAGGAAACTCAATGAATTGGACCCAAGGTGTAATGCTGTCCTTCCTTCTCTCTGCCTCAACTCTCAAGGATGGGTCACTCACATGTTGTTATTAATTATTGTTTGGGTTTCTGTCCATATTTCCTATGGGCCTAACCACACTGCCCGGCTCCCTCACCATCCATTCCTCCTCGTTTTGGCTTCTTGCCCACCTACGGGGGCCTGGTTTATTTTTGTTCTGTCTTCACCACAGACAGCCCCATCATTTTTGTGAGTGATTCTCAGTCTTACCAAAATCCATCTCTCACTCTGCCCAGCATCGAATCCCATCATTTGCTCCCTGAAGTGAACTCTAGAATTGAGGGAAACTGGATTTTTCTTTTTTTTTTTTTTTTACCACTGTTCCCCATCTCTTCCGAGACCAAAAGTAAAGCAGCTTTCTTATAGAATGACAGAGAACTTGTGAAGAGAAACCACCAGTCTGCAGGAGTAAAGGAAGAAGAGAATGATGGAAAATCAGTTTACATCTCTAAACACTAAAAAAAAAAAAAGCTAAACCCTCAATTTTTTAATAATAAAAGGAATATGACTTTTAAAAGAGAAGTTGTAAACCCTTGGTTATATGAACTGGAGACTTTTCAGTAAGAAATCATGTCTTTTACATGAATATGAATTAACAGATTTAAAGTTGAAAATGAATGTAAGGAATGCAAGCAAAGTCTGCTTGTAATAGCCGATGGTAATGATATAATGTATTTTGTCACTCCCTGCTGAATTCAATAAAAATAAAGCTAATGACTTGGAGCTTTTAAAAGACTGTACTTTCTTTTTTTTACGTGTGTGTGCTTCTTGGCTTTCTGTCCACCAGTCAGTTCCATCATCTGTTCTTTAGCTAAGTCACTGGCCTCTGTGCCCAGTTAAGAGAAGGTCATTCCCCTTGAGGTATTTGACTGTCTTTGAAGAGTGATGAAAAGTCTCTGGAAAATAAGATGTAATTATCAAAGGGACCGTTTCCTTTCTCCCATCTCCACTCCCATACTTGTGATGTTCTTTGAGTCCCTTTGACTGTCATTAAAACAAGACGGTATTCACCATGGAGCCTGGTGTGAAGAACTCTGTCGTTATGTGGCCAGGTTTTCATTTCCCTCTCAAGTCTGATAGACCAGTGTTGAATTGATCCTCAAAGCAAGAATAAAGGTGCAAATGACTAGGGGGTATTTTCTCACTTTTTCTCAACTCTCACTCTGTGGGACCCAGGAAGGGATGGACATCGGTATGATGGCTCTTCTAAAAGAGTCGCAGCATCCTGGCTATATTCTTATTTTTTTTAACTTACCATTTTGAAACAATTTCAGACTTGAAAAAAGTTACCAAAGATGATACAAAGACAATGCTGGTGGGAGTTTAAAATGGTGCAGCTATTTTGGGAAAGTTTGGCAGCTCCTCAGAAAGTTAAACAGAGTTACCATATCTATGACCAAGCTCTTCCACTCCTGGGTATACACCCCAAAGAATTGAAGAGAGGTACTTAAATAAATGTAAGTGCACACACGTTCACAGCAGCACTATTCCTAGTCATAATAGCCAAAAGGTGGAAACAGCCCAAATGCCCATCAACAGATGAATGGATAAACAAAAGGTGATCTATCCATATGATGGACTCTTAATTCAGCCATAAAAAGGAATGAAGTCCTGACAGCTGCCACAACACTGAATGAAACTTGAAAACACTTAGTGAAAGCAGCCAGACAAAGCAGGCCAAATATTGTATGATTCCATCTGCATGAAATGACCAGAATCTGCAAGTTTAGAGAGACAGATAGTGATTGCCAGGGGCTAGCGGAGGGAGGGAGTGGGGAGTGCTAATGGGTAGAAGGGTTCTCTTTGGGGTGATGAAAATGTCCTGGAATTAATGTTCCAGTGATGGTTGCACAACTTTGTGACTATATTAAAGACAAATGAATTGTACACTTCCAAAGGATGAACTTTATGATATGTGAATTATATCTCAAAAGATACAGAGAGTGCTCACATACTACTCCTTATCAATTCCCCAGGTATTAACATCTCATGTAACTAACAAAATCAGTAAATTAACATCGATAGGCTAATATACTCTGGATGCCTCATTCAGCTTTCATCACATGTCTCACTGTTGTCCTATTTCTGTTTCAAGATCCAATCTAAGATGCTGTGTTGAGTTGTTCTGTCTCTAGTCTCCTTTAACCCAGAACAGTTCCTCAGCCTCCCTTTGTCTTTTGTGACTTTTGCCACTTTTGAAGAATACAAGCCAGTTATTTTGTAGGCTGTCCCTCAGTTGGATATCTCTGATGGTTCCTTCTGCTTAAATTCGGGTTCCACGTGTTTGACAAGAATACCACGCAAATGACACAGTGTCGTTCTTAGTGTGTCATATCAGAAGGCACATTATGTTGGTTTGTCCCACTACTGGTGATGTTAACGATCATTTGGTTAAGTTGGTGTCTGATCCTGGCTATTTTCATTTTTCTTTCTTGCTTTAAAAAAATTTCCTTCTATCACCATCCTGTACTCCCATTTTCCTTCATTCCCCACCCAAGTTAACTATGTTTAATATACATCATTTAATTTTTATATATTCTTGAAAAGACATCTTGTTTTTGGCATTCAGATATTTTTAATTTACATGAGTGGTATTGTCTTATACCTCATTCTGTTTTTTTTTTTTTTTACTTTTTTAAAGTTAGGCACTATGTTTTCATGGTCAGTCCATGTTGCTGTCTAATTTGTTGCTTCTAATTCTGCATAGTACTCCATGGAGTTGCAACTGCCACATTTCATCTATGCCATTTCCAGTGATGGACCCCAAATGGGAACCAATTCCTTGTCACCACAAATAATGTAATAAACATTCTAATACATGTCTCCTGGATCTGTGTAGGGAATTATTTGGAATATATGGTGAGGAGTGGAGTTGTTGAATCATAATAGATAAACACACACATACATTCACACACAACATACACCTCAGAATGGTCTGATCGGTCTATGTTCCTGACATCAGTGAGTGAGACATCCTATGCGTATCCCTGCCAATAATTGATTCAATGAAGATGTTTTTGCTGGTCTAAAAGGTGTAAAGTAGGGGGAGAGTATAGTGGGTGAGTGCGCGATTAGCATGCACGAGGTCCTGGGTTCAATCCCTAGCATCTCCATTCAAATAAATGAATAAATAAACGTACCCTCCTCCCCTCAAAACCCCCAAAAGGTATAAAGTGACATCTTTTTGTTTTAATTTGCATTTCTCTAGTTACTAAGGATTATGAACATCTTTTCATATGCATTTGAGCTTTGGGAGTTTTGCATCATTCTCCAGTCCATATCTTTTCCCATTTTTTAACTTTTAAAATTCTGAAATGTAGTGCACAGATGGGAAAATGCATATAAAGTAAATGAACAATTCACTGAGTGGATCTGTGTAACTGTCACTGTGGTCAAGAAATGGAAAATTGCTTGTACCCCCAGAAACACTACTCCTGTGTGTCTAGCCCAGCCCCTATCCCTCCCCCTCCCCAAAGGAAACTCCTCCCCTAAAATAAAAAATTTTAACTTAGTTTTGCTTGTTAATGCAATTTCCATAAATGGAACTATATAGTACATAATCTTTTGTGTTTGACTTACGTCTCTCAAAAAGTGTGAGATTTCTCCATGCTTCATGGAGAGGTGTAGTTTGTTCATTTTCATTGCTGCATCTTAATCTACATTAATAAATATTTGGATATTTCCAGTTGTGTGTGCTTGTGAATAATCTTGCAATGAAGGTTCTTTCACTTACAGCCTTTTGGCAGATGGACACTCATTCTGTTGGAATATACCTCGGAGTAGAAGTGTTAAGTCCTAGCATTTAGATAAGTCAACTTTAGTAGGTAAAGCCAGTGTTACATGGTGATTGTTACACTTTATACTTTCCCACCAACCACGTATCGGAATTCCTGTTGCTCCACATCCTCACCGACACATTATTGTAAATCTTCTTAATTTTAAGAATTAAAATTCTGCTAAGTATTTAGTGGTATTTATGGTGTATTTAATATGATGATTAATGAGGTTGAGCCCCCTTTTATATGCTTATTGGCCATTTACATACCCAATTTGGTACAGAGTGCCTGTTCAAATCTCTTGCTCATTTTTATATTGGGTTGGGTTATTTGTTGACTTGTAGGAATTCTTCATCTATCCTGGATGTAAGCTTTTTTTGGTTATTTTCTTCCAAATATATTTTACTCTGATTTCCCTTTCATTTTCTCCACTTCAATGATCAAAAATTCTTAATGTAATCCAATCTATCAATCCTTTCTTTCATAATAAGTACTGGATTTTTTGTGTACCCTGTTAAAATCTTCCCCTATTCAAAAATTTGTTTTATTGTTTGCCTTTCACACTTAAATCAACAATTCTCCTGGAATTGCATTTTGTAAATTGGGTGTGTTAGACATCAGATTTCACTTTTTAATATAGGGCTATAGAACTTACACAACATTGTTGAAACGAGTTTCCCCGCTGCTCTGCAGTGCCACTTTTAAGTCAACTGTCCATATATGTAGGTATGTAGATATCTATTTTATTGGTCTATTTGAGTATTCTTGTGCCAATGCCACATTGCCTTTATTACTAAACTATATAAGTTTTGATATCCACTAGAGTTATTTTTTGCTATTGCTTGGAATCTTTATTTTAGCATCTCGCATTTGTGTTATAAAATTTCAGAATCCTTTGTCAATTTTGACAAAAAAGTTAGGATTTTAATTGGAATTGTAGTTAACCAATTTTTGGAGAATAGACATTTTTACTTTATTGGGGCTTCTGATACATGAATATTGGGATCTCTCCATTGGTTTAGGTCTTCTTTATTTTCTTACAGTATTTCATAATTTTCCATGTGGAGCTCTTGAAAATCATATGTTAGATGCATAGGTATCTGATCTTTTTCGATGCAGTGATAAGTGGTATCTTCTTAAAATTCCACTTTGTGATGGATTGTTGTTGGTATATAAAAATGCAGTGTTTTTGTTCATTTGTTTTGTTTTTTCTTTGTATCCAGCAACTTTGCTAAACTTATTTGTTAATTCAAAGATTAACTGTAGATTCTTTCGAAGATTTCTTTGTGAATAAGTTTTCTTTCTACTTTCTTTCTATACTTCTTATTTATTTTTGTTTACTAGTACAGTGTTGACTAGAAGAGTAGATAGAGGGCATCCTTTTCTTAGTATCAAAAGGAAAGCTTTCAACATTTCACCAGTAAGTATGATGTTTACTATAGTTTCTTTGTAGAGTAGACATCTTTTAAGGCAGTTTATCTCTCCTGTAAGGTGGGTAAGTTTTTGTCATGAGAAGATAGTGAATTTTATCAAATGCTTTTTCTACATTTATTAAGATGACCATCTAATTCTTGTCTCCTTTGTTTAGTTAATGTGGTGAATTACATTAATTTTTAAAAATCACCTTTAATAAGATAATTTACATGTGTTAAAATGAAATCATTTTAAGTATAGTGTTCGAAAAGTTTTGGTAAAAGTATATACCCATAACAGTCATTACAATCAAGATACAAAGCATTCTGTTATCCCCAAAATATCCTTTGTACTTCTTTTAAGTCAATTCCCATCCTTGCCACCACATAAGGCACACACTGACCTGCTTTCTATCACTGTAGATTGTGTTGCCTTTTCTAGAGATTTATGTAAATGGAATTATACAATATGCAGCCTTTTATTTATTTTTTTATTTTTCAAATTTTACTTTGATCATTTTTATGTATGTATGATTTATT